TCCTGCCCATTTTTCACCGTGTCTCAGTTTGGTTGTCTCTGAGCTACCAGGAGCTGCAAATAAAACCTCAGTCTTCCTTTCTGGAGCTGCCTCCTAAATTCTCGACTTGTAAGGGGCGGGGGGGTGGGCAACCGAGGCAGAGAGCATGACAAAATTTCAGAACAGGACTCTACAGAACAACCAGCCTGCCCTGCCCCTGCCCCTGCCCCTGCCCTGCCGTGGAAAACGAAGCCCCGAGAGCCAGGGCCTCCGGGCCATCCCCCAGCAGTGACGTCGGTGGACCGGGTCTCAGGGAACCATCACTCTGGGGTCTTTTCTCCCCAGGGAATACCCCGGCACCACGTAAAAGGGGATCCTGTTGGCCTCGCCTCTCTCTCTTCTCTGCCAAGTTGACAACTGGTTCCAGGGAAGCCGGGCACCCACGGGAGGCGCCGGGGCTGAGCTGGTCTAACAGGGACCTTCCTGCACCAGCCGAGCCCTTGGCACAGGGAGCCCCGTCCCGTCCGCCTCCGGTGCCTGTGGCACCGGCGCCCCAGGCCAAGGGCTCCCGAGGGGCCGGCCCTCCACGCAGATAAGGAGTGTCTGCGATTGGCATGTGGTCATTTGCCCCAGGACTCCTGGCTCTTGGGCGCCGGGGACACCCCCTGCCCTCTAGGGCCTCTCGAGGCCTCTGGGGCAAAGGTGAGCCTCCACCCAGCCCTGTTTCCATTCCTTCAGATTCTAAATTCACAGGGTCCAAAGAGCAGACCCAAACATACTTCTATAAAAATGTGTTTGAAAAGAACATTCTCTACTCACGCTGGCCCTCTGCCTGCTTCCACTTTGGGGTTCTGGGCAGACTTTTAGAAGCAAACCTCTCACCAATTACCAAGAGCAAAACAACTCCCAGAAGATCTCAGCTGGTGCCAAGCAGAGCAAGGAACAAGCCCCTTTTGCAGAGAGTTTCCGCGCGGCCTCTAGAAATCCCCGGAGATGCACATCGGGTTGGCCCTGGCCACGTCCAGAGCTGACCCAGTCCCCTCTACCCCGTGCCCCGCCCGCTCCCTGCCCCAGCCGTCTCTTGCCTTCCCCTCGGCTCCTGGACCAGAAGGAGCCCCTGAGCTGCCAGCAGCCAAGCCTGAGTACCCGGGACCCCCGACACATGAGTCCAGAAGTTCCACATAGACAAGGGTGCTGTAGCCAGCTCGGGCTCCCCCAGGGCCCACCCTCTAAGGTGCAATCGCCCCCCCCCCCCCATCACCAATACTGTGGCTCCTTGGGTTCTGAGCAACACAAGCCAGGACTCATTTCTACACCACACAAGGATGCTGAGCATTCTGGGGCGAGGCCTTGTACCCCGGTGCCCTGAGGCTGCCAAGGAGGGGAGGGCTCCCGGAGGCCGTCGTCTCTCCTCATCTCCCTCCACCCTGTTGCGGATCACTAAAGGGAAAAGTGGGAGGAAGGGAGGAAGGCCCTTCAGATGTGCTCCGCTCACGGCCAGGGCCGGGGAAGTGGGCCTCGCCGTGTCCCGGAATGATCCCAATACGCTCCGAGCTGGGCCTTTCAGGAGCAGATTGGAAAATCCCCCGGAGCGGGTGGGGCCTTACCAGCTGCTTGGGAAAATGTCTTTTCAGAGCTTCAGGGCGTCATCTCCTTGCTTCCCTCTCATTCAGGCTGCAGACTGCATAGCCCTGTGCTGCAGGCCGGAGGCTGGGGCCCCGGAGAGGAATCCAGCCCAGCCCCTCGTCCTGCTGGAGGAGCCTCCACCCAGAACAGGAGACAGTGCTGACGGGAGACAGCAGCGGTCACTCAGGATAACTCGGGGCTGTGCACAGGGTGCAGCCTTGAAGGAGGGAAGGGGTCAGGGAAGGCTTCCTGGAGGAGGCAGCTTCCGAGGATCAAGCGGGAGTTAACTAGAAAACAACTCAGGAGGGACATCCCAGGGGGTGGGAGCAGAGGCGCAAAGATCCCAGCTGGAAGCAGAAGCAGCCTGTGAGCAAAGCTAGGACACAGCCTGTGCAATGGTGAGGACAAAGGCAGGTGGGCGCCTGGCGGAGAGGTACGTTGGGTGGACTCAGGGGCCAGTCCAGAGGGCGCCTCTGTGTCACATGAAGGAGTATGGGCTGTATTTGGAGAGCAGCGGTGAGCCATGGAGGGCTTTCAGCCAGCGTTGACCCAGCCTGGGTTTATGTCTTGGAAAGTCCGCTCTTACGGCTGCCAGGCGTCGGGCAGCATGAAGGGAGGCAAGCCATGGGGATGGGTGGGCGGTGGAGGACCGGGACTGTCCCTTCTGGAGCCACAGCAGTATGTTCCCAGCCCTTCCCCCTAAACCCCTTCTCCAGCCTCACAGTCCTCCAAACTTGCCATGATTTTCCCCACCTCTGAGCCTTTGCATATGCTGTTCCCTCTGCCTGGAGTGCCCTTCCTTGCCTTCTACCCGCAGAACATGTGCTCAGGAGCAGGGAGAATGTCCATCCCAGTGTGCCTCCCTGCCCACCCCTCTTCTGGGAAGTCTGTTGCTCCTTTAGATGGTTCCAGCGGAGGCCTGGCCGGGCTCTGGCTGTGATAATCCTCTGGTCAGGAGGCGACCTCCCCACCAGACTAGATGCCCATCAAGGGCAGGGATGTGTCTCATGTCCCTTTGGACCCTAAGTCCTCAAGCAAGGCAGGCACACATGGGGTGGACTCTTGGGAAGCACCTGGAAGGCTGGCAGGGCATCCTGGGAGACCTGAGTCCCGTGAGCTCAGCTCTAGCTCACCCCGGAGCAGTTCAGCCTCATGCGGGTGAGCTCAGTTGGTATGCCCTGCATTTCTTGGAGCGGGGTGGCAGGGACCAGCTGGGTGCTTGTCAAACCATCTCCCTTCCCCCTCGGCAAGCCAGATCTCAGCACTGTGCCAAGTTGTGCCCAACACAATGTGAGAATCCACCCCTTCTAGCCTGGCCCCCAGCGCTCACCCGATCTGTCTCCTCTTCCTGTCCCTTGCCAGCTGGCTGGATGGAGACAGTCCAGTGGGAGGCCCCAGGCCCTGGGAAGAGTAAGAGAAGGTACCATCAGGTGCCCCCCAGCTTCCCTGAGGGAAGAAAAACATCCTCTCTAGCCTCTGGACGTGCCCCAAGTGCCAGCTGTTGCCGTTCAGTCAAATAGGACCTCCTGGCCCCAGGATCATACCCCCTCCCCAGGGCGGCCCATATTCAGCAAGTGGTCACCATGCGGCTATACAGGACCAAGCCATTCACCCCAACACGAGACAACTCTGAACGGCCATCCCGGCCTTAGACCTACCTCCTCGGGTCTCCTCCAAGGGTCGCCCTGGGACAGCATCTCTCTCTGCCCGTCCCCTGTGACTGACCCAGAGCACCCCCACACAACTTCCTCCACTTTGAAGTCTGGGTCCTGGGGAATAGCCTCAGTTCTCACAAGAAAATGGGAGCTGGGAGAGGGCTCACCCACTGGCTGGCTGTCTTTGAGGAGCCACTGCTGCCAGGAACTGGTGTCAGGAGGTAAAGGCCGGAGAACTGCAATTGTCCAGACGATCACCAGGTGGACTGGGCTGGTCTGCCAGTGGGGGGACATGTGTGGGGGTGGGGGAGTCGGGGGTGGTTCTCAGGCTCTGGAGGGAAATGGGGAGCTGCTGCAGGTGGCTGTTTGCAAAGTTCAGCTGATGCTTTGGGGAAACCTGACATCATATATGGGGAAACCACAAGCCCCCCCTGCCCCCGCCCCCGCCCCTGGCAGGCTGTAACTCCCAAGACTTAGTGATACGAGCAGTCAGACTCCAAAGGTTAAGCTCCCAACACAGGCAGGTCTGCTCTGACAAACTCAAGGCTGTGATCGGAAAATACTAAGATCTCGACAAATGGTGTAATGGCTTCTGAGTTGATGCACCCGAAGCCTTGAGCCCCTAGCTCAAGAGTCCCCTAAGCTCTCCAAGCTGGCAAAAATGGTCTGTTTGTTCCCACAAAGGACAAATGTTCCCACTTCCTTAAAAATGTCATTACAGGACAGCTGGCACTCCCCCAAAATTCACCCCACCTCCCCTTCTGGCCACCAGGCTAATGACTCAGGCTATGTCACAACATAACTCATCCAGGGTCATGAGAGAAAGAGAACGGGACGGTCTGAAGGTGCTAGACCAACGGGGGAAATGCCAAGTTGGATAAGGGAGAACTTATCTCTTTGGGAGCATGTTTGCAGGATGCAGCATGTCACATCCTGGCAAGGAGCGTGGGGGATGGTGCCAACACATGGAACCAATGGCACCCAGCAGCATGGGGGAGGGCTGGCCTCTGCGAAGGGAGGTGGAGTTGCTGTGGCGGATGGCGGAAGGACTGAGTGAAGGTCCAGAGGGGTAGGCATGCTACGATGGATAGAACAGGGAAGGCTAGAGCATCCACTAGATGACTGTGTTCCATGGAAGCATAGTTGAGAAGCTCCGTGGTGGTGCCTGTCCTCCACAAGCCAGGGCTGATGGTGGGAGGTGATGCTTCAGAAGCAGGCTCACTGATGGCAATGAGGGTCTTATGGCCCTAGAACAACAGAGATGAGGTGGCAGGGGGTAACCATCGGAAGCTGGAGACAATTACTGTAATGAGCATTGGAGTCTGAGGGGCAGCCAGTGGGCTCTGGAAATGGTCAATCTGGCTAATGGATCACGGGGTCCTAGCTGGGCAGCCTATCAGGGTAGAGTTCAATCTGTACAATTTTTTTTAATTTAGTTTTATTTTTTTATTCATGAGAGACAGAGAGAGAGAGAGAGGTAGAGACATAGGCAGAGGGAGAAGCAGGCTCCATGCAGGAAGCCTGATGTGGGACTTGATCCTGAGACTCCAGGGCCATGCCCTGGGCCGAAGGCAGGCGCAAAACCACTGAGCCACCCAGGGATCCCTGTACAATTAAATCAAGAATGAGTGATCAGGATGCTGAAGGCAGAGCCCCAACAAAAAGCCATGATTCCTTGCTCAGTTGCCATTCTGAAGCCAGTTTCCAGGCCGGAATCCATTGACAGAAGGTGAGCCAGTCTCCAGGAAGAAGGACCTTGGGCCACCATGACTGTACATGTCACGACACCAGTCCTTCCCCAGAGGAGTGAAAGGGCAACAACAGAGTATCCTTACATGGGAAAAGAACACCCAGTCACGTGGAAGGCTGCTGGACACAGGGTGCGAGTTGACGCTCTGAAGACTGGATGATTCCACTGGGGGAATGAGGCTGATGGGGGGCAGGTAGTAATTGGGGTCCTGACCTGAGTGTGGCTCCCTGGGTCTGTGGGCCTCTCCAGGCTCCCCAGTGGTTATTTCCCGGGTTCTTCAATGAAGAACTCAAATAGACCTATTTGGTAGTTGGTACAACCCCCACTGGGCCAAAAAAATAAAAAACAAAAACAATATCGCACACAGGATGATGGCACAGATGTACCATGAAGGGCCAAAAGGATGTGGGAGTGGTGGTCCCTGATGCATCTCCAACCAGTTTGCCCACCTGATCCCAGGACTGTCTGGTGGTGGGTCTCGGACGGTGGCATGGATGGGTACCAGCTCAGCAAAGTCGTTGGCCCAGCTGCGAGCCCCGTGCGAAGTATGGTCCTTGCTAGATGAACGCGGCCTTGGGGACTTGGTGGAGACCCATCCCTCTTCTCACCCCTGTAAGAAAAGATGATCCGAAATAGTTGATAGTGACTTGCAGTTAGTAACATACAGCTGGTCCTGCACCAGGGCTCCATCCCCTCTCTCTTCTCTGTCACCTTCTGGCCACAAGTCTCCGTCATATTACTGGCTGCACATGCCCTAGAAGATGACGTCGGTCCACTTCCACCTCTGGCCCAGCCGACGCCATCGCTGGATGTCCAACCTGCCAGCAGGAAGGATCAATGGTGCGTCCCCGGGACGGAGGCACCCCTAGGAGAAACCCATCAGTCTCCGAGAAGCAAGCCAACTACCCTGGACCTCTTCCCTTCCGGAGGAGGCGATGATGACTTTTGACAGGAACTGAGAAATATTATGGGTGGGAGTTGCCTTTTCTTGCCACAGGGCCTCCGTGAGCATCGGAGAGCTCACAGGACTCAGTCCGCTGACATGGGACCCCGTGTAACGTCACGTCGGACCAAGGACCTGCGTGACGGGAAAGGCGGAGCTGGAGGGGGGCGAGGACGGTGGCATGTGCTCATGCTGCAGATGAGGGCGCTCGGAGGCTGCCACCTGCTAGAGGGATGGCATGGCCCGGCCACCGCAGAGCCTCCCGGGACGCAGCACACGCTCTCACTCAGTGACCTTTGCATCATTCTGTGTCCCCACTGGATAGAACATGTGGGTCCGAGAACGAAGAGGAGGGAGCAGGAGTGGCCACGTTTACTGTCACTCCCCAGACACATTTGGGGCATCTGTGTTTCCTGTCCGTGCAGCTCAGGGCTCTGCTAGAGCTGCCCCCGGGGACACGGTACGAGCTCCACTGAACTCTAAGCCACGCCGATGCCACACTTGGGCTTCTTGTGCCAAAGGACCAGCCGGGAAGATGAGCCGGTGCCTCGTGGAGCACCTTTGCCCGGTTTGTACGGCGACATGGCAAGGGCAGCCTGGAAGGGACACGGCGACCTGGGCCCCAGACTCTCCAGGGCTAACAGTCAGGGGAGCCCACAGGCAAGCCCCCAATAGGGCAGGGCGCTAGCCCGGGCTCAGGGGATCTAGAACAGAGCAGGGAGGGCGAGGATGAATGCGCGGTGCAGCCTGAAGACCAGCGTCGGCGCCGGGGCTACAGTCTCCCCGCTGGCCTGCCTCTTCCGAGTCTCTGTTAGGGACACAGGCTCCTGGATCCTGAACAAGTGGCTCCCAGGACTTCTGTGAAGAGGCAGATTTTTTATTATTATTATTATTCATGAGAGACACACAGAGAGAGGCAGAGACACGGGCAGAGGGAGAGGCAGGCTGCCCATGCGGAGCCCGATGCGGGACTCGATCCCGGGACCCCGGGACCATGACCTGAGCTGAAGGCAGATGCTCAGCCGCTAGGCCACCCAGGAGTCCCTGCAAAGAGGCAGATTTGAGCAGCACAGGAGCCGCCTGCGGGAGAGGCCGCCACGCACTGCCCGGGTGCCCCTGCGGGACAGGATGTCTCCCGTGGACGCCTTCAGCCCTTAGCCGAGGGAACATGGGCGCTGAGAGAGCCCGCCCGGGTCACACCCCCTTCGGGAGGGGCAGCCCGCCCGCACCCCACGACTGGTCCTGGTCGGTGTAAGAGGAGGAAGCCGCCCTGCAGACTCTGGGCCAGCTCCTCAGCCCCCCGTGGGCCTCGATCACAGTTCAGCGTCCTCTCTCCCCTTCCACAGGGGACTCTGCTCCCCTCCTGTCCCAGTGTCCCAGTGACCCCATGGAGCACAGCACCGTGCCCTGCACACCGCATGGCCCCTGACCCGAGCAAGGAGAGACCCGCGTCGTGCTGAGAGGCTGAGCCAGGAGGTTGGTTGGTAAGCAGCGAGCCTGCCCTGACTCCTTTCTGGGGGAATGTGGGACTCACCCCCCAAGCAAGCGAAGGGATGCCTGGGAGCGCTCAGGGCTGGCACTCCCCATCCCAGCCAGGTGACCAGCAGGGTCCTCTCTGCCCCTGGCGGGGAGTTCTCAGCCCCCGGACCCCCAGAGCCCTCGCGGGGAGGGAGGCCTGAGTGGACCCGTCTACGCCTTTCCCTGAGCTGGCCCCCCCTTCCCCACGGCGCTGTGTGGGAGCCTCTCCCCTGGGCAGCCAGCACCCCAGCCCCCCACCCCCGCAAGGAGCCGAGGCAGGCCGCCCATCCACCCGACAACAGTTCAGGGGCGCTGTGTGTCTGGGTCTGTCTCTCCCACTGAGAGCAGGAGCCCTAAGGGCAGGGGCTGTGGCAGATGCACCTGTGGGACCTCAGCACCCAGGACGGGGTGAGGCACTCAAATACCTGTGGAGGAATCCAGAAAGCCTCAGTTTCCACATCTGTGCCCAATGCCCTCAAGCAGCAGACCTCTCAGCAAACACACCCAGGGTCTGGTCAGGGCCAGGATGTCCTCTAGGGCCCGGAGAAATGCCTGCAGATTTGGGGCAGGTGTGCAGATGAATGGTTGGGGGTCCCCAGCCAGGGCCCCTGGGAACCAAGGTCCCAGGCCCCCCACCCGTCCTCCAGCCCGAAGCCTGGTCATTCCCCTGACCCAGAAATGGCACCCTAGCCTGTTGTACAAGACGGCACCAGCCCCCAAGGTGGGTCTCCTGGTACCCCTGGGCCCTGGTCCAGCCCCAGTGTCCTCAGTGGCTGCATTTCCGCCCCTCCCTGAGTCATCGAGGTGTAAAGTCACTGCCCAGGGGCCGGGGGTGAGTTGGGCAGCTCCTGGCCACTTTCGGAGGAGCGTGCTGCATAAACATTCCCGCCACTAATGAGGCCTTCCAGAGACGCTGCTCCCAGGGGACCCCGGCTTCCTGCTCCCACTGCTCTGGTGTGGGAACAGGGGTGCCCCAGAGACCTTCTTGTCGGGGAGAGTCGGAGTCGTGGTGGGCAGGCCGGGCGGTGGGTCAGGCAAGGCGGAGGGCTGCTACCCACCCCTCCCAAAGCGGGCCCACACCGAGCGCCTGCTGTCTGCCAAGCCCCGGGTGGGTGCAGGTGGGGCAGGCGGTCACAGAGCTGGGGGACCGAGGCAGCGGGACTCGGCCTGGCTGGTGTCCCCCTCCCTCCCTGCAGCTCCATGCCGGGATATTGGAGTCCCTTCCACCAGGACACCCTGGAGCCCACGACCTTGGAATGAGCAGAGGATCAATGTCCCATCTCCATCTGCAGCTTTGAGTCTGCTGGAAAAAAGAAAAAAAAACCTCTAAGCCTTGAGTTTCCATCATCCACTTGGGACTACCACCTAGCAGATATGTGGGGACCCCGGCTATGCTTCACACAGCTTCAGTGGTCCCGAGCAAGGGCCTGTGCCTCTCTGAGCCTCAGCCCCCCCACCCATGGAGGCTCACCATGGCCCCAGCGCACGAAAGCATCAATAGGCACCTGCGTGGACCGAATCTTCCTCCAAGTAGCACCCGGTTTGCTGAGTGGATTGGTTGGGGCAAGTCGGGACGGCAGCTGGGACTCATCACACGGGGGGAGGAGCCCTTTCGATCGGAGCTCACCCTCTAAAGGTGGTAAGTTCTCCAGCTCTGAGCCGGAAGCACCCAGCGAGGAGATGGGGACGGGCACCAGGCCCCCTGGGAGAGCACCCACGGAGCCCCGGGCCCACGCTGGGGCTGTGCACACCCGGTCCGAGAGGTGAAGGGACAAAGCACGGAGGAGGCTTTGGACTCAGCCGCCCCCTTTTACTGACGGGGCCACCCTCTCTTCGCCTCCAACCCTTTCTGTATCCAAATATCACTTCTTTTGTGGAGTGACGGCAACAGTAGACAGTAGCTGGTGTTTTGTTTTTGTTTTCAATGTTCGTACTTGGCAGATCTAAAGTTGGCACCCTATGACAGGAACTAAAGTTGATTTTTGAAATTTTAATTGTTTGCGAAATCCACAGGCCTAGGACTTTGTAGGAATCTCTGGTCTAATTCTTACAACATGCCCACGGGACGGGGTTCATTGCACCCATTTTACAGATGAAGCATGGCTGGAAGAGGACTTGCCCGAGATCTCAGCCTGTAAGCTGGGGGGGTGGGGAGGGACGTGAACCTGCTGACCGCCCGCCCCTCACTTCCTGACCCAGGCCCTCCTCCTCCCTGGATGGAGGCCTCTCTGCTCCACCGGCAGTGGAAGAAGGGGTCCTTCTCCAGTCCTGGCATTGCCCACAGATCAGAGTTGGCCCGTCCCTACCCAGGGCTCCTCCCCCCAGCCCCCCTTAGCCTGAGGCCACCCCCGGAAGCCCCACTCCCACCCTCCCAGCCAAATAAACAAGCAGGGCTCCCTGGAACAGGCCCACTGTCCAGACTCCCCCACCCCCGCCCAGCCGGCCCGTGAGCCTCCCCCCAGAACCAGCTCGGGCCCTTGGCCATGGGGGCTTGGCCTGGGCCGGTGCGGCGGGGGGTCCCTGGCCACCCCGCCCGGGGCCGCCGGCAGCCCGCTGTCCTGAAATGGCTCAGACCAAAGACCCAACTGCAGTTTCTCAATGACAATGAGGACACGTTGTTTTCAGTGGCCACAGGCCAAGGGCTCCGACTGTGGTCTTGCCTCGCCTGCCTGGAGAGACATCTGGGAAGGGGGTGTGGCTGCACCAGCCCCTCCTGGGCAGCCGCATCCTCAGTGCTCACTGTCCCCAGGACGAGCTGGCCCGGGTCACGCTGCCCTCCCTCCAGGCTCTTTCAATTAACACCAAACTCCGCAGGTTGGCATCCGAGGCCCTGGCACGTCCCTTCACCTGATTTCCCACGCTCCCCCCGATGCCGCGCGTCCTGAAGTCAGTCGGATCCCACCCTTCCCCTTGTTCACGCTGTTCTTGGAGCCCGCGTGCCTCGCTTCCCACCCTGCCCGTAGATCTGCGAACTCCGGCCGGGTCCGGGTGCCCACCGCAGCGGCACCACCTCCTCCCTGATGCCCTCCTGGTGCCCCTGGGGTTTCTCTTCATGTTCTGAGTCCCTGTGGCCCTTTCTCAGAGCCCCGGTGCTTTCACCTGTAAAACAGGCACAGTAATAGTACCTAGCTCGGCAGGTGGTGGTGAGGCCTGAGTAAACGAGACCGCGGAAATCCCGGCCCATCATGCTCAGTAGCTGCTCAATAAACGGTGGATTTGTTACTGTCATTGTCACTGTGCTTCCCCATCACTGTGGGCCACCCTCTTCCTTTTCCACCTGCCCCACGAGGGCTCCATCTGCACCTGCCGGCCTCCCCCTCCCCACCCTCCCTGAGCAATGCCACCCAGCCCCACGGCCTGAGCCACCACCCGCAGCTGGCCCCAGGGGCCGCTCTCCCGGGCTCTGCGCTCGCGTGTCCAGCTGCCACATCCACCCGGAGGACCCTCGGGGCCTCGGGGCCAGCATTTCCAACACTGCCACACTCCCTGCCTCCTCCTGTCCCAGCGGGCTCTGCTGGTTAGGTGCTGGTTAGGTGCTGGAAAATCGTAACCAGCCCCAGTCTTGGCATGAGATCCTGTACGACTTAGGAATGCCTTTGGCTGCAAATAACAGAAGGCGCGGTGAACGGTGACTTAACCACAGAGGGGTTCGTTTTTCTGGCATAGCGAGGGGTCTGCAGGCCCCAGGCCAGCCCCTGATGATCTCATGTCACCCTGACCCCACTGTTGGAAAATGACTGCCCCAGCTCCAACCCCTCGAACAGTGTTCAAAGGCAAGAAGCAAGAGAAGGCCCAGGGAGGGTGGTCCTCTTCACACACCTTCTCTTACCAGGGAGGACAAACCCTTTCCCAGAAGCTTCCAGTAAACGTCCCCATCGCATCTCACTGGCCGGACCCGGCTCCTTGCAGTGGCCGCCCCTGCTGCAGGGGAGCCTGGGAGGGCCGCTGCCTCCCCCCACCAAGCACCCAAGCACCGGGCAGGAACCTGGACTCCTGTCTCCGCCGCCCCAGCCTCCCGCCAGCCCTGCACCCTGCCTCTCCGCCCTCCTCCCGCCCATCCCTCCCGGCTCAGCACTGGGCTCCCTCGACCCCCTGTCCCGGCCCCCCTAGACAGGCAGATGGGTCTTTTAAAATCCAAACCTTTCCATGACTCCTGACTTCTCTAGGAAACGCCCGAGCTGCTTCATGTGTCCCCCAAGGCCTCCTGACCCGGCCCTGCCTACCTTTCTGAATTTACCCCCCACCCTCTGCTTACTGAGGAATCCCCAGATGGACCCTGGCCGGGGAAGGAGCGCACGTGGTTCGGGTGGGCGGGGATCCCGGGACACCAGGAGGGGTGGGGAGGTCAGCAGGGCGGGGAAGGAGCCCTTGGAGGGTGGCCGCCGCCGGGGAATACACCGGAACGCTGGTGTCCCGTCCCAAGGGCCAGGAGCCAATGCTCAGGTCTGCTTCTGGGGTGGACAGGGTGGGCCTCAAGTCTCTGGAACTTCTGGGCCGAGCCGCCCCCTCGGGCAAAGTGATTCAGGCCCTGGGAGCCGAGGCCGGGCCTGTGGCACCCAGGGAGGCAGGAGTCGGAGAACAAAGGGAGAAAACACGGCCCCTCCCCGCATGCGGCTCCAGCAGGTAGCAGAGGGGGACCCCAGGGTGGCCCTCCCGCTGCTGCTGGGGCTGGGGGGGACGGGCTGGGGGCGAGCCCGCAGCTGGGCGGGTGGGGGGGGCACACGCCCACAGCCCGGGATGGAGCTGCTAGCAGGCAAGAGGGAGCCAGGTCTTCAGAGCCACCGGGGCTGAGGCCCAATCTGCCATCGGCCATAGAACACCGCCCCGTCTGGACGAGTCACGTCACCTCTGGGGCCTCGGTCTCCCCAGCAGGAGAATGGGCACCACCACCCCTACGTCACGGCCTGGCTCCGAGGAGGGGGCATGGGGTGCGCACACTCAGGAGGCAGAGCGCGGCTCCGGGTGGGTTCACAGGGGACGGGCCGCCTGGTGTCCCCCTCGGGTCCCCCCCCCCGGGCCACCCCTGGCAGCTCTCCTCCCTTCTCAGCCTGGGAGGCCCAGCCCAAAGGCCATCTCACAGGCGCCAGGCAGGGCGGGCAGGGCAGGGCGGCGCTTTCTGCCCAGGCCCCTCTCCTGTGTGCAGCCGAGGCTCAGCGCTGCGAAGGCCCGTGTCCTCGCCAGTCACCCCACCAGACCCGCAGCTCCACCTGGGAGGCCCAGGCCTCCCCCACACCTACGGGGGCTCCCTCCTGCCGGCATCTCTCGGGCTGCCCCTGCTCTCCCTCCAGGCCCTGGGGGCTCCTCCCTCGGGCCCCACTCTGCAGGCAGCCCCAGCTCACAGTCAGGGCACAGGACAGGGCCCGGGGGTGTGGTGGGGGGTCATGCAGGCTGGAGCGTTGCAAACATCCTTTGGGGCGTCTCTCAGACTCCTCTCATCTCGCCGCAGAGTGGAATCCAAGATGGGGTGTCCCTTAGAGGCCATCTGGAGGCCCAGAGAAGGCGCAGATGTGTCTGAGGCGGCACAGCAAGCTCATGCCGGGGCAAGCATGGAGCCCGGGCCTTGCGCCTCGCGGATCAGGAGGCCTCCTCACCCCCACTTCACCTGGGGGCCTCGGGGAGCAGAACCGGGGCTGTGGGAAGGGGCTGGGGGCTGAGCCTCGAAGCCACTTCCCTTCACCAAGACTCAGTTTCCCCTTCAGAAAGTGACCACTGGGGGTTCCTGGGAGACCTACAAGCTCCTGCAGTGCACATGGGGGAGGAGGGTCAGTGGGAAAGGGCATTTGTGGCCTGAGTGCCCCATGATGGCAGAGAAGACCCCCGCTGCCCCCACCCCGCCTCCAGGCCAGCTAAGCAGCCTCTGAACTCCAGGTGATGGGCGGGCAGGTGGGGCAGAGAAGGGGAGGCAGACATGAGCTGTCAGGCCCCTCACCACCCCCTGAGGCCCTCCCCCCGTGCCCACCCCCGTTCCCTGGGGTCCAAGGGCTGATGGGGGTCCAGTCCTATGGCGACATCCCCTGCCGGGTGGAGCCCGTGTGTGGGTGTGGGGCGGCTGCCAGCCCTCCGGGTGTCTCACTAATTGTACCCTGGGGTGTGGTCCACTGTGGGCACCGGAGCCCACGAAGCAGATGGTGGGGGCAGTGACTTGGGCGGAGGCGAGGCCGGGAAAGCCCCAGGCGGCAGGGCTGGGTCGGTGACAGGCGGCCCAGCGCCCAGGCCGAGGACAGGACACTGTGTTTTGATTATTTCCAGTTTCCTGACCCCCAAGTAGTGATTTAATGTTCCTGTTTACTCCAAGGGTTAGAACAGAAGGCGGGACGGCTAAGCTGGCCTCCTTGGCCTCCCCTGGCGTCACCCCTAAACTCCCAGCAAAGAAGCAGTCGGAGGGAGCGAAGGATCTGGGGGGACAGTGCAAGGCCTCTGGGTGCATCGGGGACCTCGGATGGGCTCAGGGCTGGGCCCTGCACAGCGCAGGTCCTGCCGGGGGTTGTAGGGTGGGACCTGTCCATAGGAAGCGCGGCTGGGTGACCCACGGTGCTGGCCCGAGAGGCTGCCTGGCTGTGGGGCCCAGGGGCCAGGGCTCACCTTCCCAGCTCAACACCGATGCGTCCACATCCCTGGGCCTCCCTGACACGATCCAGGGCTTGGACTTTGGCTGGGCCCCTGTCCCCACTCAGAGTCTGAGTACACTTCAGGGACTGCCTGGTAGGCAGAGCCAGGAGCCTGTGGCTGGCTGGGAGGGGCTCCAAGAGGTCATAAGCCCAGCTCCTCGTTCCGGAAATCTTGGCCCAGAGGAGCCGGCTTGTAAAAGCACTCCAAATGTGGCCTCCCATGAGCATCCTCTGAGGTCGCGGCTGCGCACGGCAGAGTGAAGGGGGCTGCTTTCACAGCTACATGTAATCCCGTGCCTCTGTTTAAATTGACACCCGTCCACGTCATTGCTGGCCAAAAGTTAAAATGCTGCTATGTTTTCTGTGCAGGGACGTCCTATCCTAGAGGGTCTGTTCCTTTCTTCAGGAAGCATCCACCAGCACCAGGCGGGCGCTGGGACCACAGACAAGTGTCGGAGGAAAGTGCAGGTGAGGGAGGGGCAGCAGCGGGGCCGGGCTGGGGAGAGCCCCTGGAGGGAGGACCACGGAGGGAGGGGGCTGCAGAGGCAACGGGTCGAGTCCCATAGAGACAAATGAGGGTTCAGCACGAGAGGCTCCCCAGACACAGCCTGGGAGGCCTTGAGGTCCCAGGGGCGCAGAGCCCGGGCACGCTACCTGGAGGACCCGTGTGCACCCAGGGTCACTGCGTCCCCTTTTCCCCCTGTGAGCTACCAAGGGGACAGCAGAGTCAGGGAAGGTAGACATGGGACTCGTGGCTCCTAGGAGTTCAGGGTCCCCAGCGGGCTAACAGGGACCAACTTCCCTATGCCATGTGGAGTCTTCAGTTGGCCTGGAGCAGAGACCAAGATGCCAAGCTTAAGATCTCCCCGTTGCCAGGTGTAGCAGTAAGATCCTGGGGTGCAGAGCCAGGCAGGCCCAAGAGATCACAGCTCCGGCCCCAGCCCTGCCCCTGAGGTCCCGTTCAACCGGGGACTCAGTTGCTCCTCCACTGAAACCAGAGTTGACCCCGAGGACCCCGCGAGGGCTCCATCCCCCGCCGCGGTGCAGGCAGGTAATGGAGGAGCTCGTCTCTGGAACCGGGCCCTTCACGTCCAGAAAGGTCACTCCTGAACGCCAGTCCACAGGCATGCACGAAAACTGAGGCCCTTTTGTTCACGCGGCCCTGGGGTCAGGTCCCTGCCCCACCGCTAACAACTGTGTGGCTTCAGGCAAGCTTCCCGGCCTCTCTGAGCCTGAGTCCCTGAGCGTCTGTCCTGATGGACTTGAGAAGTCCGAGGCGGCATCCAGGTGACACCGAAACCATGAGGAACTGTGCCCTTGGGAGGCATCATGACAGTTAGCAGCAGGGCTCCCGTTCAAGTGCTCAGCGACAGGAGGGCAGGGCAGGGGACGCACAGACTTTGCTTTGAAGCCAGTCCTGCCATTTGCCAACTGTCTCCTCCTTGAAGACCCCCCAGGTGGGGCCGGTGACAGGAGAGGAGGAGACAGAGGGGTGCCCGGCACATAGTAGGTGCTCAGGACACATCCCTCGTGGGCCTGAATGCGAGCAGGGATGAGTCTGAACGGACTGGACAATGTGGCCCCAAAGGCGGAGACCCCACCCCAGGGGTGAGCGCCCCCGCCCCTGCCCACGACCCCGCTTCACGGTGACCCCCCGCCGCTGCCATCTGGGGAGAATTTGGCCGGGGGTCGGGGGGTCACAGTGGGGAGAGGGTGCTGTTTGTGGAAAGGAGCAGAACAATTGAAGCCAGCTCGTTCAAAGTTAGAGTCCCTTTTTCCAGAGTGGTTGTTTAGAAGGAAAAAAACATCATCCAAATCACAGCCGAGAAAACCTGCAATTGCCAGAGAAACGGGGGTCGGTGGCCAAGAAGGATTGCAAAACAGCGGCCCCAGGGAACCGTGTGCTTGTGCCAAGCCCTGCAGGGCCACGGCTCGGGGCACCTTCCCGGGTGCCCGCCTGGCCTGGAGGCCGGGAACCCGGACCCCTCACCCTGGCCGTCCGTGCCCTGCTCCGGGCCGGGAAGACACACAACCCGAGCGGTCACAGGGCTTCACAGTTTGCAAAATGGGCCTTTGCAGGGAGGGTCCCAGAATCAGGAGGTGGGGAAGGGGTGGGACGCGTTGTGGGGATAGTTTGGGGGCAGCTCTCGCCTCAGCACTAGGTCCCAGGGTCCGGGGCTGTGCATGAGAAAACTGTAGAGTCCGGTTCACAGCCACAAGGAGAAGGGGGGGAGCGGGTCACTGCGTGCCTGAGAACGGGACCCACGGCTCCCTGCCCCCTACACCCCTGCATCCTGCCCTGCTCCAACAGCCCACCTGCCACAGGACATCCCTGCCATCCCCCGGACCTCAAGCCACGCTGCCAGGCCAGCCTCGCTTCCTGGATCCACTAATCCAGGGGATCATGTTCCATTTCCCCAACTACAGCTCAACCCCAGGCGATCTGGGCCCAGGAGCCCTAGCAGCTCCCACCCTGCTGCCCCACCAGCTACCCGGGGTCTCAACAGTGGTTGTGGGATTTAGAGCGGCCCCCACAGCTGCTTGCTGCCCACCTAGTGTGTGCTGGGCTGGGAGCACTTGGGGGGAACAAGGCAAGGGCCCAGGGAGGACCCAGGGCTCCCTCCCCAACCCTGTGTGTCATGTCAGGTGCCCACGGCCCTCCACGGAGAAGATTCGGGAGAGGAGGCAAAGGAAGAGGCTGGGTGCTGGTTTGGGAGTCTCCACCAGCCCCAACAGGACGCACCAGTGGGTGCGGCGTGGCCCAAGTCGGGAGCAGGTGACCTCACGATTGGGGGTTGGGGACCAAGAATGTAGCCTCAAGCGCCCACCACGCCAACGCCCTGCCATCCACGGCCCCTGCGACCTGGCCTGGACATCGGAGCTCCACTCTGAGCCTCCGGGAGGGGAGCCCGTGTCCTGGATTCAGCCTGACGCCCCAGTGAGGCCTCAAGAACCGTCCACGAGTGGGCAGCAGCCACAGCGGCAGGGCCTCCAGACCGCAAGTTCCCCACCGTGGCCCCCCACCACCACCGCCTCGGGAGGGGAAGCCCGGCTTCCTGAGGCTCATGCATTTGTGCAGGGCCTCAAGGACAGCAAGGCCAAGGGGCCAGGCTTCCCTTTCAGGTGGAGGGCCCGGCATGGTGAGCCAGACCAGTGGTGGGCCGGTGTGCCCAGTCGGTGCCTCGGTGGGCCATAAAGGTGCCCCTTGCGGGGGGGAGTGCAGGCTGCATATCCCAGCACCCTTGTCCTCACCCCAGACTTCCCCTTGGCACAACCCCCAGGAAAGATGCCAGTCACTGTGGCTGCCGTCTTAGTGCTCGCTGTGGGCCAAGACCCCGACATCGTCCCTACAGAACCTACCTATGGGTCTGATCGCACTTTTCCAGGGGTGACTATTTGAGCAAAGCTGGTCTCCCCAGCAGAACAGTAAGCAACGTGGGGGCGGGGCTGTGTCTGTTTCAGCCACCAGCACCAGACCTGCTTCTTTAATAAATGCTTTAGCAAGTATTCATAGAATGTTCTCTTTCAACCCTAAAACAACCTGATTGAGTGCATTGTACAGATGAGGTTGGCGAGGTGATGTGGCCTGCGTAGGGTCACAGGGCCAGAAGTGGGCGTTGGTGGGTATGGGGCTCCCCAGAGCTTTCACTCCTCCCTCCTCCCACGGCCCCACCTGCTCCAGGCCACGTGGCCCATTCCCCACAGGCCAAGTGCAGTGACCCAGCCAGAGATCCCTCCCCTGACTGGGGCAGCCTCCCAGCCAGTAAGAAAGGCAAGCGGCACAGGCCGGGAAAGAGCCTGACGGGCCGGGGCTCAAGCCTCATTCTGCCGTCGGCTTGCAAATCCCTGCTGTTCCCGGAGTCCCCGTTTCCGTGATGCCCAAGACCCTGTCCAGCCTGATAAGTCTGTGATCTGCAGTCTAGGCCAGGAATCTGCTGCACCCGAGCCCCGACCTGTGAGTCCGGTGCCCATGGCAGACATCACTAATCCATTACCGATCAGGCTTTCCCACGGAGTTCATCTTGAACATCAGAAACCTTCTCAACACAGGACACAAGGCAACCATCTGGATCAAAGCTGACAAGCGAGATCGAACCTCTTTACTCTCCCTGGTCTAAGGAGAAGCTGGGCTGGGAGCAGGCCCTGCGGAGCAAGCCTCACGCTACTGGCTACCGGCTCCTGCCTTCCCAGAGGAAGCCACCGTGAATGGAGGCCTCTGACCCACTGGTGGGGAAGCATCAGGAGGCCTTGTGTCCAGACCAGCAGCCCCCTGACCCAGCCTGACCCAGGCCAGGCCCTAAGCGTGTTTGCCCAGTGGTGGTCTCCTCAATGGTCCCTATTTCTGGGTTGATCTCATGCCGACTCCTTACGTCCCAGAGCTCAGAGCTCACCTCCTCCAAGAAGTCCCCCTTCCAACTCTTCCATTCCAGGCCAGCGTCCCTGCGGTACCCCTGCCGGTTACGTACTCTCCCTTAGTCACCCAGCAAGCGCTCGTGTCGCCCTTGCGTGAGCGTGTAAGCCTGCAGCCCTGACCCCGGGCCCGGCGCCCCGGAGCGAGCCTGACAAGCTCGCAGCGCTCATTCGTTCGCAGGTGCATCGGGCACCCCCCGCGGGGCGCTGTGCAGGTGTGGTCTGTGCCCTCCGGAGCTCGCGGTCTAGTGAGAAAGACGGACACTTACAGAAGAGTTAGGCGTGTAATTAAGCGGCAAGAAGCGGAGGACCGTTTAGGGACACGGCCTTGCTGTGCTCAGGAGGGTCTCCCTGAAGGCCCGACAGCGAAGAGAGCCCCGAGAGGCGGGCAGAGGGTGGGTGGGCATGAAGGCAGTGGGGCCCCGCTGCCCCAGCCCCCCTCTGCGGAGGCCAGCTCGAGGCCTGGGGGCACTGAGGCCAGGCCCTGCCCCCAGCTGTTCTCATGGCTGCTTCCCACATACCCCAAGGACGGCAGCAGCTGGCCTCAAGCCAGCCCCACGGAGGCCACCTGCAGGAAGCTGGCCACCCCGGGGGCTGCAGCCGGCCCCAGGCAGCCTGGACCCGGGGCCAGGCTCCTGGTGAGCCGGTGACTTCGGCTGGGCCGGGGAGAGGGGGGCAGGAGAGGGGTCAGGATACAGGGTCCATCGGGTCACCAGCCCAGGGGCTAGGCGGGACATCCCCTGCCCTTTCCACCTGGGCCGCCGGGGCTCACGCTCACGTCGCTGACAGGCGCGGTGAGGGGACTGTCAGCTCCCCCACCCATCCCCCTGCCAAATTGCACTTAATTATGATGATAAATGATGGCAGGCGTCCACAGCCACATCGCAGAACATGACAAACACTCCACGTCGCCGAGCCAACGAGCTCCGCTCCCCCCACTGCCGCGTTCCTAACAGGAGGCTGAGGGGGGTTATCTCGGGCCACCGGCAGCCCCCAAGACAGGCTCCGGCTGGACCCCCGGGGCCGCCGCGGGATGGGCGCTGCCGGGCAGGGCCCAGGCCCCACGGTCACCAGGGATCTGGACCCGAGCCCTCGCCCTGCCCCATGTCCCTGTGTGTCACCTGCTCCTTGTAGTGAAGCATGAAAACAACAACCCACCACCCTGGGGGAGGGGCTGCAGACACAGGAGCCGCGTCTACAATCAAGACTCCGGTCACGCCGGCCCTGCCAGCACTAGCGGCCACCGGGGGAGTCTGCGAGGGCTGGAGAGGAGGCCCTACAGCCCGGGGCCTGGCGGGGGTCAGGCAGGGTGAGGCCGAGAGCCCCCAGGGTGAGCAAGGCTGGACTGTAGGAGGCCTGGGCATCTCCTTGCTGGATGGGGGTGTGGCCTTGCCGGGGCCCCAGAGGGAGGAGGGCACCCACACTCCCCCAACAGGAGCCATGATCCCAATTCCAGCATCACAGGACAGAGACCGGAAGGGGCCTCACCTTCTCCTAGGTCTCTATCACGGGCAGGGCTTTGAGACGGCGTGCCAGAGTCCCTGTCCCAACATGTGGCCCTCACATGACCGATAGGGCAAGGGCTGTGTTCAGGTTGTGTCCCCCGAGTGCCCCCCTCCATCTGCGCGGCTAACCACAGCCGTCTGAGTGACAGCACTACATCCCCACCGTGGACGTGTCAGCTACGTGGGGGTGTTAGGCCGCAGACCAGCAAAGCAGGAGAAGAAGGGCGACGCAGGCAGAGGGAACTGCATGTTGAAGGTCTCATCTCAGGATCGTAGACTCCCCTGGACTTGGACACAAGAGAAAGCAGCTGGGAGTGGCTGCAGCCTGGAGCTGCAGGGGCGGGGAGGGGAGTGAGCCGCTGCCGAAGGGGGAGGAAGACCTGCGTGTGAGGGAAGGACGGGGGCAGTGGGAGCAGAAATGATGGGGGTGCAGGGGCAGTGGGAGCAGAGATGATGGGGGTACGGGGGCAGTGGGAGCAGAGATGATGGGGGTACAGAGGCAGTGGGAGCAGAGATGATGGGGGTGCGGGGGCAGTGGGAGCAGAGATGATGGGGGTACAGAGGCAGTGGGAGCAGAGATGATGGGGGTACGGGGGCAGTGGGAGCAGAGATGATGGGGGTGCGGGGGCAGTGGGAGCACAGATAGGGGTGCGGGGGCAGTGGAAGCCGAGATGCGGGTGTAGGCCAGGGACCGGGCTGCAGAGGAGGTTGTGGCTGGAGAGAAACCTGGTTGGCAGGCAGTTGACAGTTCCAGTCCTGAGATGGGGACAAGCATGTCAGCAGGTGTTTGGGGCATGTTTCCCCGAGGTGTCCCAGCAGCCGGGTCTGGGGAGCTTGGGCACAGAGGGCTCAGAACAGAGGTGCTGGTGCTCAGCAGCGGTCAGCGTCCGTTGAATTTAGCTGTGGGTAAGATGGCCCAGGCAAGCCGAGGGGTGGCCCCTTGAAGAGGGGAGTGACTCAGTGTCTAGAACCCAGAGCCAGAGGGTAGAGCTGGGTGCAGAGGGCCCTGGGAGGACTAAGGTCCTTTGTTCAGGGGTCCAGGCAGCCCACAGCAATCTTGCAGGGAGAAAACCAAAAAACCAACACACCACCTTGCTCTCCTCCCACACTCCACGGCCTGGTGGTGGGTGCCATGGGCGAGCCCAGGTGGAAGCCAGTGGGCTACAAAGCACCCCCTCTCATGTGGCCCATTCAGACTCACATCCTGAGACACATAGCAAGCAGAGTGTGCACGAGCGCCACCGCACCTACGGAGGTAGCCGCAGAGGGGTTGGAAGCCTCTTGTGCCCAGGAGCCCTGAGTGGGGGTCCGACAGCAGTGTGGACACTTCCACAGATTGCTCTACAGAGAGGGCCTGGAAGGAGGCTAGAGGAAGCTAAGCATTAAGGGCAGGTTTGGTTTTGTTTACTAAGAGCCTCAAGTTGAGTCCTGGATCCAGTAGTGCAGGACAGAGTGAGGATGCAGGAAGGGGAGGATGCACAAGTAACAAGGCGCAAGAGAGTAAGTACGCAGGAGAGTACAGATGCAGGACAGAGAGGATGCAGGAAGTGGATGCAGGAGAGAGGGGATGCAGGGGGGAGAGGGGATGCAGAATAGAGGATGCAGGGGAGAGGGGATGCAGGGGACAGAGGGGATGCAGGATAGAGGATGCAGGGGATGGGGGATGCAGGATAGAAGATGCAGGCAAGAGGAGATGCAGGAGAGAAGGGATGCAGAGGAGAAGGGATGCAGGGGAGAGGATGCAGAAGGCAGCGTAACCGACAGGGTGGCAGTCACGGGCAAGAGCAGGTGGGTCTGACCCCAGGGCTGGGAGAGCCGAGGTGGGTGGGAAGGGGGGTGGCAGGAGGGGCGGCTTCCTCCCACCCCTTGCACAGAGGCTGGTGACCCAGGCACGGTCTGTGTAACAGAAGCACGTCTTGCTCACGTGCGGAGGCCCTTGGGGCCCCGAGGCTTGGGTTCGTCCAGAGGGGCTGAGTGGGGAGGCTGAGGACTCGGGGGGAATACGGCTGGGGAGTAGTTGCTCAGGACCCAGCTTTTCGAGGCAGAGCCAGCTGGGTGTGGATGGAGTCGGGTGCACCTCGGCAGGATAGGGAGGGATGGCAGGGAGCGTTTTCGATCCATGGGGTGCAAGGATGAGAGACCACAGTAGTGACTGGGGCCCCCCCAGGGATGTGGAAACTGATGTGAGATGAGAAGGAAGACTGGGGCGGGGTGGGGGACGCCGGGGGGGGCGGTTTGTCATGGAACCCAGCGGGAGAGGAAGGTAGGGGGTGGCGGTGGAGTAGGGGTGAAGAGTGGGGGAGGCACAAGCAGGTCGCCTGGGGCGGGTGAGGGAGAAGCAGGTCACCGTCAGCCAGAGGAGGATGTGGAGCTATGTGGCGGGCACATCCGGGCCCCTTGGGCATCAGCAGCCCATTGTAAATGGGGAGACTGAGACCCAGAGGGGCAGAAATGGGGTGCCTGACCCCAAGGCCTGGACCTGCAGGACTCAGAAAGGCCTCCCTGAGCTCTACTGCATGGCTCCCAATCCAGGTCAGTGGGGCCCATTTTGGAGGTGGTGGAGGTGGGTG